CATGGAGTTCATCCCTGGCCATATTGAAGTGACCACTTTGGCTTCAAGTAGAAGAAAATCCATAGTTTTATTATGCAGTGTAAACTGTGTCTGCCCAGAGAGACAGAGCTAGCAGCTTATGAAAGCTGTTGGTTGTCACTAGCATCCTGTTGATAACTAGCTAACACGGTTATTATTAACTATGCTAACTGTTATCCTGCCTGACATGATCAAAACCATGTAAAAAATAAGTAACTAAGTAAATTGTACTCTAAGTAAATATTAAATCATCTTCTTTTAACTTCTACTTGAGTAGATTTTTAAACTATTTTACCTGTACTTAAGTAAAATACCCTGGTTGTTTTTAATTACAGTTTTCATGCATCTTGGCATCATGTTCTCCTCCACCAGTCTTACACACTGCTTTTGGATAACTTTATTCTACTTCTGGTGCAAAAATTCAAGCAGTTCTGGTCATCCATCTTCCTCTTGATTATATACCAGAGGTTTTGAATTTGGTAAAATCAAAGAAACTCATCCTTTTTAAGTGGTCTCTTATTTGTTTCCAGAGCTGTATGTGTTTAATGATGGAGCTGTAGTTCCATTCTGAACAGCAGTGTAGAAGAACAGTGATAGACTGTATCTGTGGATCAGTCGAATGGCATTCTCTTTATGATATGGAAATCAGGACTATTCTGAACCATGTCTTTATGGGAACACTGCGCAGCCTTAGGCCAGTCCAGTGTGAATGGTGCCATTTAAGGCCGTTGCTATGGCGACCGGGATGGTGACAACATACTCACTCACAAATATGGCAGTAAAATACAGTGAGGTGACTTTCATCAGTCTGAGCCTCAGCTGCCAAGTACTGCAACAGTCTAGAAACTGAAGCGGTGCAATCAACAATACAGACAGCACAGAGCTTCTTTCATACACTGATATAAAACACTGCAGCTCACAGAGAGAGCTCCAGTTCCATCTTCTGAACTATTTTACTGACCAACATGGACATCCAGCCCACCCACGACTCTGGGACACATAGTTAAAGGGCAAATAAAAAGGAATATTCTCTGCATAATTAAAAACAATGGTGGTGAATGGACACAGATGTCTGAACGATACAGCTGACCATTATTCATAAACGAACTCAAACACACTGCCTGTAAAACAGTGCCTCAGACAGTGCCTCAGACACTGTTTTACCAGATTTTGGGCCTAAAACTTGGACTAAGAATTTGGGCCCTATCTAACACTCTATGCAAGGTGTGTCACAATGCTCATTGCTATCTTACATCCCGCCAACAGCCTATTTTCATGCCTACATTGTTTAAATAGCAATGGCACTTGTGAGTATATCTACATCAATGGGCATGGTAGTCTTGAAATGGTGTGTGTTCAGTTACATTTCTGGAGTATTGCTATCTTGGCAATGAAAAACACAGGTGCGCCACTGACTGAAAGCAACTTAGGCAGGCGCCAACAGATAGAAGTTGCTATCTTGGCATCGAATTATCAATGCAGGTGCATGCTCAATACACGTATAAACACACAGCAGTGCACAAACCTATAGCACATGCCTGTTGGCAGCTGTGCAAAATTTTACATCAACAATAAACAGAAACAATAAAACAGAAAAATAAAATACCATTTTACATCAACGCAAAATATAGGTCATTGTTTTATTACTTTAATGAGTTTTCTCTGCTAAGAAGCATTGGAAACGTCCAGGAAGCTGCACTATAAACATAGCAATGCGCCAAAGTCAGAGTGCACCTGGCTCTTAAAGGGAATAGCTAGTCACATGCTGATTGGTTTATTTAATGTTATGTCCAAAACACACTCATGATTAATTAAGAAAATTAATACATGCATTTTTTGCATTGCAGGAGTGGATGGATACATGCAAGCCGCTGTGTGGCAAAAACAGTTACCAAAAAAAAAAAGTATTTTTTCAGAGTGACACTTTTTTACCACCATCAAAACTCCATATAATACTCAAAAGACACAAGTAGGTTCACCGCTGGGATTGCTGTGCATAGACAGTAAACGAAATGGCTATATTTGTGCTGTTGTCATGGTGACAGACGTCTAATCCATTCATCATCACTGTAAAGAAACCTGAGTCAGAAAGTTTCTCTATAATAAAACACAATTTCACACCAAACCCCAACTAAACCCTTTCTAAATAAATTCATTGAGAATTTTAAAGTATTGGTAGAAATACCCTTTATGGGGTCCGGCACTAAAGGTAACTCAAAACAGAAAACGATGCCAATTTCATTTGTTTTCCACACTCAGAAAATAAGAGAGAGAGAGAGAAATAGAGAGAGAGAGAGAGAAGTAGGACTGGGCATTCTTCTGCCCTCTCGTCACCGACCGCAGAGGAGCAGTGCGAGCCATGCCGTTACACGCGAGGGCGGAAATGATTCTCTCGGAATAAACTCTGCATCATGTAACTCTTCACATGTGTGCACAATTAATGCGAGAGTCCAGCCAAAAATCAGAGCTAAAGTTCCCCGTAAATCTAGTTGATCAGCCCAGACCTGTTTTTATAGTGCTCTGAGGCTAATGTAGCTAGCAAAGCAAAGGTGTAAAAAGTATTGACCTTCATTACTCTGTAGGTAGAAGTATACATACTAGAGTTTAAAATATTTAGTATTGTAGTTAAAGTTAAAGTAACAACTCAAGCTTTTTACTCTTTAAGTAAAAGTGTGAAAGTACTGTTTTTAAATCTACTTAAAGTATAAAAGTAAAAGTAATATAAGGGGAAAAAATAAAGTCATTAAGAACAAAAGCTTAGGCTTTTTTTTTAAAGCCATAATGACTATAATGTTCTATTATTAAAATGTTAATGTTGATACATTTGGGCCATTCCCTGCACTGTAAAAAAAAATCCTATTTTTACAGAAAATAACTCTAAATGTTTACACTATTTATCCATTTTCTTTTACTGCAGTCTAATTCTGTCAAATTACAGACATTTTCTGTTAATTACAAGCCCCTGTTCTAATGTTACATATTATGACATTAATGAGAGATTACGGTTAAAACTCTTATTTTTAGGGCTATATTGCTATATTATTTTTATGGTATTTTTCCATGTTCTTAAGTTATATAGATATGTATGTAAAATTACTTATTATTATATGTAATTATATGTGTGTGTTATTATTTAAAGGTTTATTTCTTTCCCAACATCTCAGTGTTTTTCTTCATAATTGTAAGGTTTATTTATTTATTTATTTTTTATTCATTGTTAAAAAACAAAATACAGAAAATAACCATAGAAATAAAACGTTTTTTTCTTTCTTTTATGTAAAAGAAAATATACCTAAAAAAAACAACTGTCTGTGGGGCGTGGCTATGTTAATTAGATGTTCAGTTTAGAGGGCTCACCATGATGTAGTTTCATAGCAGTTTTATCCACCTGGCTGGGTTTTAGACTGTGCTAATATAAGTGGTTTCACTCTCTGAGCACTTTTTATTGCTTTAAATGAGCAGAGAGCCTGTTAATAAAGAAATTCTGAAAAGATCATACAGTATGTCACTGAATGTCACTGAATGAGTCAAATACACATTAATTTGTGAATCATAAAGCTCACAACTTGAAAGACAATAAAGTTAGTTAAAAAAAAGGTAAAATAACAGTTTTTCCCTGCAGAACATTGATTGAAATCGCTTTATTGAAGAAATTGAATTGTAAATATGCTCTGAAAAACTGTAAAATAACATTTTTTTCCCTGCAGAACGTTGATCAAAATCACTTTATTGAAGAAATTTAATTGTAAATATGCTCTGAACAACTGTAAAATACTGGTGTATGTATGTGAAACCTTTAATGAAAATGCATGTGAATCTACTGGTTTTACACTTCATATGAATGAAAGTATTTTACTTTAATTTTAGGGTTTTTGTTTGGCAGCCGCTGCTGCCAGTAATTTGACCGTTTTTTACGGTTTTATTTTTTACAGTGTGTTTCAGCTGCATATATGCTGATTGTAAATGAGTGTATTTTAGTAGAATGTAAATATATTAAAGAAGCTTAGTTGGACTGGAGTTTGTCTGGAGTTCTCTTGAGTCTCTGCACGAATCATCTTCATACTAGACTACATTCGTCTGCTATGTTCTTGCTAAAGTGTGTGTGGAGGGGGGGGGACGAGTGCAGGTGTGATGGATCACAGTATAAACTAATAGGGTGTTGGAATGGTATATTTTTATACTCTACATCCAATCACAATCAGATTCACTCTATCTGGATGGAGAGATTTATCTGAATAAAGGTTTTACTGAACGATGGGTTTTATTGAACGATGGCTATTGTTAGCTACATTAGCCTTGTAGTGCCATTCCAAAAGAAACAAAACAACTTTTCTGGGATAAAGGAGAGAGCATTGTTTATTTTTAACATTGTAAACCCACAATTTGTTGGTATTCATGGAAGATGGATGATCACAAGCCATCAAACCAAACTGAACTGCTTGAATTTTTGCACCAGGAGTAAAGCAGCATAAAGTTATCCAAAAGCAGTGTGTAAGACTGGTGGAGGAGAACATGATGCCAAGATACATGAAAACTGTGATTCAAATCCAGGGTTATTCCACCAAATACTGATTTCTGAACTCTTAACACTTTATGAATAGGAACTTGTTTGTTTGTTGTTTTGCATTATTTGAGGTCTGAAAACTCTCCATGTCTCAATTTCTGCAAATAAACGCTCTAAATTACAATATTTTAATTTGGACTTTGGGAGAAATGTTGTCCGTTTAGTGAATAAAACAACAATGTTCATTTTACTCAAACATATACCTATAAATAGATAAATCTGACAAACTGATTCAGAAACTGATGTGGTCTCTTACTTTTTCAGAGCTGTGTATTAATAATTATATTAAGTAAAAATATATTTGATTTAAATGAAATCAAAAGGAAGACTAAATGCAAAATTATTGTATTCATCTGATCATAAAATTCAAAATTAAAATGTATTCAGGCCTACAGTGTATCTCTACACTACATGTTAGTCAGATCTCCTGGCCCGGACCTTCTTTTGTTCCTAACTCTAAAACAAGATCCATTACAGTCTCGGAATTCCAGTTAAACCAGGCTGCCGAACGTTTCTGCCCATAACGCAGGACTTTAACTGCAGCCTGGAGAAGATCCAAGTCACAGTGGAGACGCGACGGTGCGGAAGGTGTGTTAGCTTTCACAGAAAGCGCGAGCTCAGCGTAAACTTCAAAGAAAGTGTAGCGGGTCCACGTTCACGACCAGGGCCTGATCTGCTCCTCAACATGAAAGGTCAGGGATCCAAAGTCGAACCATGTGGTCGAGGAGAAAGCGCGAGAAGCCAGAGAGCGCGAGAGCCAGGTCTTCACAAAGAAAAGAGGAACGCAGTCTGTGAGTCTGGATCTGCTCCACGTCCCTGTTTCACTTCACTTTTATGGCTGCTGATTTGAAGCAGGTGGCACTGGATGGTCTCTGGAGGGCTCTGGAGGGCGTGGGTGTGAGTGGGGGCGGGGCGTGAGTGGGGGCGGGGCGTGGGCGTGAGCTGATGTTGAGGATTTGGGTAAAATCTGGCTGCAATCTCAACAACAAAAGGCTTAACATGATATTTTGAGAAATGGCACTGCAGCAATTTTTACTGACCGGATACTTCACAGTAAAATCCGCAGAGTTAAAATCACAGTGTAAACATGTTTTAACTCTCTGGGAGTTTTTTTTCCATTAGTCTTTCTTTGGGGTTATTGTGTTTGTGTGTGTCTTAAATGTGTTTGTAGGCAAATGGGATTTAGTTGTGGTGGTTCCCCTGGTGGAGAATTATTATTCACCCTCTTGGTGTTGGGTTGAATGGTGGATAAGGGACTTCACCCAAGAGTTAGAGTGTTGTGGGAGAACCACTGCTTTTTTTGGCATTTTTTGATGTTGTGTCTTGTTCAAAATAAAGCTTAGATAGGGTACAAAAGTAATTTAATCTGTGATAAAGCTCACATTTTGTAATGTTTTATACACACTCTCGTATAGAGTTACATGCACTGAAAAAAATGCTGCGTAAAATTTGCTTAAAAAAACTTTCGCAACTTTCTGCATTTGCTTTTTTTTAAGTAAATTTAATTTCATGTAAATTTAAGTAACTTCAACTCAGTTTCAAGACTTAAATGTTACATAGAGTAAATAAGTGAACTGAACTTCAGCCAATCCTTTCTTTAATTAAACTTTACTTTATTTATTTATTTATTTTTGCTAAATCAATCCTTTATTTTAGTAACATTTACTTAGTTTCTGCATACAATATTACCTAATTACAATTACTTAATTTATACAATATTATTATATATAATTTTAGTTAAAACACACATTTATTTTGTAAACAGACCAAGTTTTACTGTGAAATATGTGTTTTTTAACTAAAAATATTTACATTTCAGGAGTTATAATGTATTATGTATCATAAATTATTTGAATAATATTGTATAAATTAAGTAATTGTATTTAGGTAATATTATATGCAGAAATTAAGTAAAGTTTACTAAAAGAAAGGATTGATTCTGCAAAAATAAATTGAGGAAAGTTTACTAAAAAAAAAGGATTGGCTGAAGTTCAGTTCACTTATTTACTCTATGTAACATTTAAGTCTTGAAACCGAGTTGAAGTTACTTAAATTTACATGAAATTAATTTTACTTAAAAAAAAAACAAATGCAGAAAGTTGCAAAACTTTTTTTAAAGTAAATTTTACGCATCATTTTTTTTCAGTGTAGAGTTAATATATGACTCCATACGCTGTTGAAGTATCTCTATAAATCTCTAAACACCACTGGGGCTCAACACACTTGGAGGAGAACACTAACACTAACTGCTAATTCTGGTAACAAACAGCTAACAAATGCCTGCACTAGTTGGGACTGCCCACGCTAGTGAGGAAAGGGAGGAACATCCTGTCCACTCAAAGAGAGAGAGAACACAGTTATGCTCTCTGTGATGTTCGGATATGGATAGCCCACTTGGAATACAATCTTTATAAGTATTATAAAAAAACAGTACTGTTGATAATTACCACAAGCTTTAGCCTCCCACTAATAATGCAGATCAAACACACCAAATGCTGGTGCAAAATCATTCCTCAACTCGTCGTCTCATACATTTAAACATTGCTGTTTTCTGAGGGTTGTAACCATTAACTGCTCAATGTACATGTCTATCATGGATATCATGGCATCTGAGAATCAGCTAGTGCCTTAAAGGGGTGTGTATGGTTCTTCAGCACTGGTACTGTGTAAAATACAGGTTTGTACACTCACATGATCTCCTGGTTGTGGTCTCATCAGCGAAACCTGGTCATAACCACGACGAAACAGAGCCCAGATCGCGTCCAGTTTACCCTGGTCATAAGGAAAAAAGAGGAGGATAGAAGGAAATTGAAATTATTAGATACTTTTGGCAGCAAATATTAAATCACACTATCTAATAACCTTGACCACCACAACAGACCACAATTGACCGCCCAATTAATGAACACCACAAGTCCTCTAAAGCAGCGTTTCTCAACCTTTTTTCTATCACAACACCCTTTAAAAGTATGCAAAATTTCAAGACACCCCAGTTTACAATGTATTAAAAACATACTCTGCATTCATCTGACAGCAAACACACCATGTGTGATTATTAAAACAGAGAGGGAGGTAAACGGAACTTAAAATCAGTGGGAAACCTGTGCTTGGGACGATGCACACAACCGCCCTATTAATACATTATGATGTATTTATTATAAATAAATACATCATAATGGTAATATGATCAGCAGCATCAGCAAACAGTTAAAAACAGATCCAGATTTGAGACTCTGATCCTCACCCTGATTGGAGAATACCACTTCCTGTCCTGGGCGGTTCTCTTGCTCCCGTGTTTTTTGGGCTTGGGCTCAAACGGCTCGAACTCCTGCTCAGGCATTTTCACCACTGCGTTTTTGGGTTTCTCCAGCTTGGCTCCTTCTTCAGTCGAGCCTTTCCCGCCCCAGCGCACCTAAAGCACGGAGGTTAAAAACAAACACAGATGTGGGGGAAAGTTCTCGAAAGGTCTGAACACATCTCCTGCAGCCAGCCTCGCCTCGGCAGTGCCCAGTCTGCTGCTGACTGCTGGAGTTAAAAAATCTGGAGTTAAACAAAAACGTGTAAAAGTGTTAAATTGTGTGAGTTTATTCTTTAACTGAAAAACTTAAATTACAAGTTGAGTTGAGGGGAACTCTTTGGTGGTGTAGAGTTTATTTCAGAGTTTATTCCAAGGTTGTGAGGAACGTGACTGAACTCTCTAATGGGCGTGTCCCCCAATCCCAGTTTACCAGTCTTGCCCACCAGGGCTTCCTTTCATGGGATATTTCATGATAATATATATAATGGTTGTTTGCCTAGTCAACGTGTTGTTGGCTATAAGAGCAAGTTACCTTATGCACTGTAAAGTGTGGCAAAATGCTGGCAATGCACTGAGAACTGCAATACAGGATTAAAGTTTTTAAAGGATTTAATGTCCCTATGCAATGAAAAAATATACATTGGTATACACTTATTGAGTATGAACTTGTTATTGTGATCAGTAATGATGTTTTCTGTTGTCATTTTTACTCCTAAGTGTTCCAGGGTTTAAAAATAGTACAATATTTTTTAAAAATATTAGTTTAAAAACACACATTTTTGCATTAATTGTTAACACTGTGAAGGAGTTTATGGTCAAATTAACTCTAGCTACGAGCTGTATTTTACTTTAGATGGGATAAATATTTTAACTCCCGCAATAGTTCAGATTTAACTCCTTAACAGAGTTAAAAGGCCAGAAACTCCCAGTAAAGAGTTACTTTAACTCATATTTATGTCATAGAGTGTATTCCATGGTCACGCATATACACTTAAAATACGTTTATTCCAAAAAACAGAATTTGCTGTGCACAGCATTCTCCAGCCTCTGCTCTCACATGAGAATGATGATCAGATTTCAGATGATAGATAGACAGATAAATGCTGGAAAGCTTCTGATCAAACCCAGCCCTAGTTCAAATCATGTACAAACCATTTGTTTCTGGATCCCAGATGTGATGTGGTATTTGTCAGGGTTTGTCGCTGACAGCTGTGTGTATGTTTCAGAGGAATTAAATGGGATTCTGGCAGATATTTCATTTATTGTATTATTAATAGGGCTGCAACTGATGATGATTTTACTAGTCGACTAATCTGATGATTATTTTTTCGATTAGTCATGATTCTTTTTTTGTCATGCCCTCTATTTGCACTTCCTACTGGTGAGGCTCCTGATCTAATTCATGTTTTACTGCACATTGACTGTTAATTTTGTCCACAGGCCAGATATTTTCCAAGCCATTACGTGGCGGGCCACAAAAAAAATTCTGTTTTGGAAAATGAAGCTACAGACTAGTAGCTCTCCAGCTCAGAGGGTTGTTGAACCCAATTGCAGAACAGTTGAATTCAAAGCAGGTAAACCCAAGAAGAAATAAAAAAATAAAAATAAAATAAACGCACCGCTCCTCATGCGGGATCGAACCCATGTCGCCAGGGTCGTCGTTTAATACACTACTGCTGCCCCGGCTAGTGAATTAAAACACAGTTGGGAAAAAAAACGCCCTTTTAAGGAGATAGGGAGCCCGAGAACGGGCGGTAAAAACTAGAATGGGGAGGAATGTAAACAAAAGCTCACCAGAGAAGCATTTTATTCATTTATTTATTTATTTTCATTATCCTTTATTATAGTTAAAACAACCTCACGGGCCAGATGTTTCATGCTAGTGGGCTGCCTATTGATGACCCCTGCCCTATTGTTTGTCACCAATGTGACCAATTGTATGTCACCCATCGCTAGTGATGTCTCAACACAAGGAAGGTGAAGACTAGCACATGTCTCCTCCGATACATGTGAAGTCAGACTCCGCCTCTTTTCCAACTGTTGCGGATGCAGCATTATCGAGTAGAATCACAACGCACTCAGAGAAAAAGCACAGCGACTTGGTTCTGATACATCAGCTCACAGATGCAGCCTTGTGCTGATTGACATCACCCTAGGAGTGATGAGGGGAGAGAGCGCCATCTACTGTACTCACCCAGAGAGAGCAAGACCAATTGTGCTCTCTCAGGGCTCTGGCAGCCGATGGCAAGCTGCATGACCGGGATTCGAACCAGCGATCTCCCAATTATAGTGGCAATGCTTTAAGATTTTTTTTTTTTTATTGGACAGCGATGTTATGCTTTTGATTATTCCTTTTTTTTTAAACTTTGACCAAGGAGACACTGAAGCTTGAAACCATTTTTTAAATTCACCTCCATTCGTTTTATCCCTCCGACTCCTCGTCCTCCGTAGTATGACGCGTCCACAGTAGGCCATTTCTTCTTGGGCATGCCGTCTTCATCATCAGACTCCTGTCAGAAAGAAACAGCACACAGAGAACGCAGAGCAGTTAAAACGAGGAACACAAAAACACCTGTTCTCAGCTTTAGAGGGAGAAATCCAAACATCCTGACGTGATGAGAACAGCACACTGTCTGCAGAGGCAGCTGTACGGTACATCTCAGGGCACAGAGGAGATCCTGACGTTCTGAGGTGGAAATTATGTTTTTCTGTTCTCAGATTTGTTCTCCAGCTTCTCGCGCACCTCAAAATACGCTGCTGGAGAGCCAAGACTGAACTCGTGCTGGAAGAATGTGCTTCACAATGCAAGATAAGCACCGGTTTTCCACTCCTTTAGTTTTTCAGCCTCACGACTCCTTCATTAGCCTGTGATCCTCAGGGTGAGGGCTGCAGTGTAGCAGTGCTGTTACTGAAACATTAGCCTACACTGAAAAAAATGCTGCGTAAAATTTACTTAAAAAAAGTTTCGCAACTTTCTGCATTTGCTTTTTTAAGATAAATTTAATTTCAGATAAATTTAAGTAACTTCAACTCAGTTTCAAGACTTAAATGTTACATAGAATAAATAAATAAACTGAACTTCATTTCTCCAATCCTAAACTTTACTTAATTTCTGCATACAATATTACCTAATTACAATAACTTAATTTATACAATATTACTCAAATAATTTATGATACATAATATATATTATATAATTCCTGAAATTTAAATATTTTTTATTAAAACACACATATTACACTGTCTCAACACATGGATGGCATGTAATACGAATAGCTATTTTACTAAACGCGAGGTGACGAAACTCAGACATGTGGATCCGGACAGGACTAAAATTACTGGAGGACCAAGGAGTTCAGCGGAAAACAGTAGATTATTCAGCCTGTAATTTTCTCAGAGGATGTCTGAGAAAAACAAATACATGGTCGTTCTGGACGAGAATAAAATCACAGAGGACCCCCATAAAATAAAAAAATTACACCAGGACCCCCTGAGAAACTAACCCAGTCCAGATAGGGCTTAAGTTTGCTTTATGTAAAATGGAATATTTCCAAACATTACTAAACTATTTTGATGTAGGTGGATATTTGTGGGCATGTATACCTTCAAACAAAGCAGTGGTATCAACGCAGAGTACTCTTATAATAACTGATTTTAGTCTGTTGCCATTGACCGCTTCGTTTCTATTGGCTTTTGGCCCAATCTATTACAGCATACTGGGTGTGTCCTTCAGTTTCTGACACTCACCATCAGTGAGTGATTAACATAGCCTCTGTGTTGTAGGCTATAAGAGCAAGCATCATTTTCTGAGCTGCAGTAACTCTGTGTTGGTTGTTTGCTGTACTGTTCACTCTAATGCTCTTTCTTTTTCCATTTAATTTTCTATCAGTATTTCAAGTATCTATAGTTTACATAAATGAAGAGCACTGCATACCAGACCCACTCTGCCCTTATGGTCTGATGTTTTGGGGATGTTCTGATCCAGTCATCCAGAACATCACAGTTTGGTTCTTGACAAAGTGTCTCTGAACCATTTTTCCTGCTTTACCACATCGGCTCCTATTAAAGTCCCACTTCATGTTATTTACTTTTTAGAAAATCTAGATAGAATTCTGGAAAAAAATGCATTTTAACATAATGGTACTACTTTAAAATAAGACTACCTTTATAAAGGGTTTATTAATGGTTTACAATTAGTTTATAAATGGTTACTAATTAGGTTGTAAATGCCTTAAAAATCATTAATAATCAGTTATAACACATACGTAGAAAGGGCAACAATATAGATGGCTGTGGGTTCACTATTTGGCAAACAACAGATCATTGTTGCACTTTCTACGTATGTGTTATAACTGATTATTAATGATTTTTAAGACATTTACAACCTAATTAGTAACCATTAATAAACTAATTGTAAACCATTTATAAACCCTTTATAAAGGTAGTCGTTTTTTAAAGTGGTACCAACATAATAAATATATGATAATATCAAAATACCAAAGCAAATTATACTAATCCATTTATCTTAGTAATATGAGTGTTTTTACCTGAAAAAACACCACATGTGATTTGAACAGATGCAAATAAACATAAATACAGTAAAACGTAACAAGGAATTCTCATTTTTAACTAAGTATGTTCAATCCTGTGAGCCTGAAGCTGAAGAATAAAGTGCAGAAACTCCAGATTTCTCCTGGATGCTCCTCAGCCAGCATGTGTATATTATTATGTTCAGTTCCGTCAGCAGCTCACCTGATTTACCACATTTACCAGTAATTTACCAAACCAGGTGTTGATTAATATGATGAGAACTAGAAATAACTCTATTAAACTCAGATTAGAAGGAGAGATTAGGAGATGTTTTAAGGTAAATAGGGCTGTAAAAGCTGTTCTGCTTTTTGTAAAATTGCTGTTTGTATTTATTGTAATGCTGTAATGTGTTTTACTGAGCTAATAAACATTTACTGCACAGAAAAGAACTGCACTTTTTCTTTAGATGCCTAAAACATTTACACAATACTGTATATAAAATATATCAATTAATAAACATGCAAAAAAGCAAAGGGATGAAAATAAGACTTACTGGCTCTGGTGGTGGAGGAGGAGGAGGCTCCCTTATGACCTAGAGAAAGAAATTATATTAAAAGGTCACACATATAATTAAATATCACACATAAATTCACTGTATTCTCCTGTTAAACCCAAATTAAAAACTATACTTTCATTCAAATTAGAAAAATAGGTTCCTAGAATCACTAGAACTTTAAATTACTGGGCTTTACTCTTAACCGCAGGACGAAGCTCAGAGTCGTGGAGACCCTGATTTTTTTTATTTGCATTTAAGTGGCCAGATTTTTCCACCTTCAACTGGCCAGCCTGGGCTCTCCTGGCAAGAGCTTTCAGATCACCAGAAGATCCCTGACAGAATAATGATGGGAACGCGTCTTCAGTTCAAGGACGTAAATGAGGCTTGAGACTCACTACTGTGCAGCAGAGCGGCCAGAACCACCACATGAACAGCAGAGCCAATAACAAGAAGAGGACCAGCAGGGTGATCAGCAGAATAGTCCCGTCAAACTGCCAGAGAAAAAAACAACACACGGCTTTAACCAACAGAATTCACATATTCAACCATAAAAACACCCTAAAACTGTTTATAGAATATCACAATAAACCCAAACATGAACTAAACATAAAGTCAGTGGTCAGTGAGAGTATCTACCTGTAAATAACTCTATATAACCTTAGAATAATAAACCCAAATAACCATAAAGAATAAAGTCAGTAGTGAGTAAGAGTGTCTACCTGTAAATAACTCTATATAACCTTAGAATAATAAACCCCATTAACATTAAGAATAAAGTCAGTAGTGAGTAAGAGTGTCTACCTGTAATTAACTCTATATAACCTTAGAATAATAAACTCAAATAAACATAAAGAATAAAGTCAGTAGTGAGTAAGAGTGTCTACCTGTAATTAACTCTATATAACCTTAGAATAATAAACTCAAATAAACATAAAAAAATAAAGTCAGTGTTCAGTGAGAGTGTCTACCTGTAATTAACTCTATATAACATTAGAATACTAAACCCAAATAAACATAAAGTCAATGTTTAGGGAGAGTTTCTACCTGTAATTAACTCTATATAACATTAATAATAAATAATAAACCCAAATAAACATGAAGTATAAAGTCAGTGGTCAGTAAGAGTGTCTACCTGTCATTAACTCTATATAACCTTAGAATACTAGTCCCAAATAAACATAAAGTCAGTGATCAGGAAGAATGATTACCTGTAATTAACTCTATATAGCATTAGAATACTAAACCCAAATAAACATAAAGTCAATGTTTAGTGAGAGTGTCTACCTGTAATTAACTCTATATAACATTAGAATACTAAACCCAAATAACCATAAAGAATAAAGTCAGTGTTCAGTGGTAGTGTCTACCTGTAATGAACTCTATATAACACTAGAATACTAATCCCAAATAAAAATTAATTCAGTGGTCAGTGAGAGTGTATACTTGCAATTAACTCTATATAACATTAGAGTAAACCCAAATAAACATAAAGTCAGTGTTTAATATATGTGTCTACCTGTAATTAACTCAACAAAAGTGCAGATTACCCATATTGAGGGATTTGGCCCAAATATAGCCCAAATAAGGCATTTAATGAGCTTGGTTGCCACGACAGCAAGAGTATTAAAGCCCAACCACATTTTAGCATAATGAGTAAATGTAAAGTCCAAAACTAAGTCAGGGTCTTGTAAGGGTTAATGTAAAAGTCATTAGCTGTATGAGGGAGTCAGTCTGGGTCTGAGGGGCCCACTGCCTCTCCAGATCAGAGCCAGGGTCTCCAGGGGCTTTGGGCTGGATAAGCTCGAAAGCCCCTGTGGTCTGGCTGTGGACAGAGTGAAGAAGAAAAAGAAGAAGAAGAGGAAGAGAAAGGAACTCACTGTGAGGGAAAGAGAGCCCTCTGGCAGAGTCCAGAAAAAGAAGGATGGTCTAAAAGCAAAGAGAGAAAAGTGAGGAAGTGGAAAAAACTAAAGTTAATAAGGAAAGAGAGGTGGAGATTTGAGAGACAACAATAATACAGAAAGAAATATATATATATATGTGTGTATATGTGTGTGTGTGTTTACTCACACATTCGGTGGTGGTGATGTGTACTGAGCTGGTGATGAACGACAGACCCTCGTTCATGCTGACCTGCAGGTAAACCACCCTGAAGAAAACAGAACAGATAGAAAGATGCATTTCTTTATTCATTTTACTAGTACATTGACCCCCTTTACTAGTAACTAGTAACAGCCCCAGATTCAGTTCAGATCTTTTGTTTTTACGGCTGTGCACTAGCTCATTACTCTTGGGCATCCTCTAAAATACATATATTTTTTTTTTGGTAAAAGGACTAGGTGATAAAATCCCTGGTGTTTGCACCATTTGGATTATGGCTATTTGGATTCCCCACCAAGACACACCATCAGTTATGTACCTTAACAGCAAAGGGTGTTTCGGCCATTTATTATAAGACACCACGGGTTGATCAATGGTTGATCAATCGATGGTGTCATTCCACTTTACCCACAGCCAATGACTGGTACTCTCCTCTGTGTTGACAAGCTCTTTCTGTCTGTCTATATGACTGTCCCCTAAGTCTGATCTCCCTGAGGAGATTCGCCGTTGTTCTGGCAAAAAAATCCTCTGCACCCCACCTCCACTGGGTGCACCTTCACCTTCCATCCTCTTTCGCCTCCTTTGCTTACATTAGTAAGCAGTATTGTTTGGAGCTCCATCGTCACTCCAGAGACTATTTTGACACTGATACAGTTCAGATCCTTTGTTTTTACCGCTAAGTTCTACCAGAGTGCCCTTTGACATTCACTGCTTGGTGTTAATAAGTATTAAATGGAGCTCCATCATCACTTTAGATACTATTTTGAGCCTGATCCAGTTCAGATCCTTTGTTTTTACCGCTAAGCTCTACCAGAGCACCTTTTTTCATTCAGTGCTTGGCATTAATAAGTAGTGTTGAATGAAGCTCCATTTTCACTTCAGGTACTACTTGGAGCATAATCCAGTTTAGATTTATTGTTTTTACCATTGTGCTCTAGCAGAGCGTCCTTTGGCATTCAGTGCCAATAAGCCGTATTGAATGGAGCTCCATCATCACTTTAAATACTATTTTGACCATGATCTAGTTTAGATCCTTTGTTTTTACCGCTGTGGCAGAGTATTTATCCAAAGCGACTTACAAATAATCATGTACATTTAGCAATATAGAAAAAAAAAAAAAACATAGAAGTTCAAGATAAAAACATTTTTCATACAGGGCCTAAAGGAGACCAAAGTAAAATAATGGGATAAAGGAGGAAAGGAGGGAGAGCAGGAAATGAGGTTATAAGTAGTTTGTTACTATGTTAGAAGTGTTAGGAGAGTAGGTGCTCTTTGAAGAGCTCTGTCTTCAGGAGTTTCCTAAAGATAACGAGGGATGCTCCTGATCTGGACGGTAGTTGACGGTAGTTTGTTCCACCATTAGGGAACAGTCTGAATTGCTTTGTGTGAATGTTGTGACCTTCATTTGAGGAGCGCAGCGGCCGGGAAGGAATGTAAGCCTGAAGAGCAGCTTTTGGCATCTTTTAAGAATTTTATGAAGCTCCATCACCACATTGGAGAATGCACTCCACTGCTCCACAGCTTAATTCTAGGGTGTTTTATTCCCACTTAGCCCTCCATTCTCAGCATTAGGCACTGTAACTTTAGGATCATGAGATAATATTCGCTCCAAAGTGTTCAGTTCTATTGTTCTGTGAGTTTCTATTGTGATAATACAGCTCTATGAGCAATGGGAAAAGCTTACAGCAGCTGAACTCATCAGAAGGGGTGCCTGTATACTTCTGGACACTCAGTGAATGTGTGCTTAGGCATCAAAACAGTCCAGTCAGTGTTAAAGGAGAAGAAGTGAAGGGGAAGTGTTGGTGAGTTGACGTCTGTAAAGTCAGTGAGATCAAAGGAAAGGGGCCGGGCGACAGCAGGCTTTGATCAGGGAAAAAGAGAGAGAGAAAGAGTGAGAGAGAGTGAGAGAGAGAGAGTGGAGAGAGAGAGAGAGACAGTGAGAGAATGAGTGAGAGTAAGAGGAAAGGAAATAAGATGATGAAATAGGCAGCAACACTGAGGCTGGAATTATTTTGTTCAAAGAGAACTTTGTGCAAATTTAAAAGGATGAAGGGAGAAACACTAAAAAACAATGAATTAGCTTAGATCTTAACATTAGGGATCCAGTGGATCAGGATTGGGGCTAATACAGGCCTATTTATATACGTTTGCTGTCCTGTAGAAGCCGTTAATGAACATCAGCCACTTACTTCCCAACTTCGTCTATGACCGGTGCCGGACACAGTAGATACGTGTCTTCTATACCATCAGGCTTCACATCTAGGGAGGAAGACCAGGAACCGTTACTGACTTTAACCATGCCAGTGCCTTTTAACTTTAACTGTATTAATATATATATATATTTTAATATATGTTTTAATTTATTAACTTAACTTAACATTTTGTTTATAAATTCCACTTTTTGTTTTTACTGCTGGATTAAATCATGTCCAGTGTTTCAGAAATCTGACCAGATACAGATACTCACTTAAGGTGACCGTGTCATTGACCTTGAAGCTGCACATCACCTGGTCTATCTTCCTGGCGTGGAGGAAGCCGTTTTCCTCTGACCACCACTTGAAAGGACTCTGGATTGGGAAGATTTATATATTACTAATCTCATAAAATTAGAATATCATTGAAAAGTTATTTTATTTTAGTAATTTGGTTCAAAATGTGAAACTTATATATTATAGAGATGTATTAAAAAACAGAGTGATCTATTTTAATCGTTTATTTCTTTTATTGTTGATGATTATGGCTTACAGCCAATGAAAACCCAATAATAAGAATATTATATTATTAAAGTTGTCAGCAGAGGGAATCATGAAGTGCTGTAAGATTTTGTGGGAAAACAAAACTGCACTGACTTTAGACTTGATAATAAAACACAGTGGATCAACACCAGCAGATGACATGTCTCTCCAAACCATCACTGATTGGTTGAAACTTCACACTAGACCTCGAGCAGTTTGGACTGTGTGTCTCTCCACTCTTCCTCCAGACTCTGATCCCTTGATTTACTTTAAATGAAATGTAAAATTTACTGATGATCAGTGATGGTTTGGAGAGACATGTCCTCTGCTGGTGTTGATCCACTGTGTTTTATTATCAAGTCTAAAGTCAGTGCAGTTTTGTTTTCCCAACAAAATCTTACAGCACTTCATGCTTCCCTCTGCTACTGACAACTTTTATGGAGATGCGGATTTCATTTTTCAGCAGGACTTGACACACTGCCCACACTGCCAAAAGTACCAATTGGCCTTATATAATGTTCAAATTTTCTGAGACACTGATTTTTGGGTTTTCATTGGCTGTAAACCATAATCAACAATAAAAGAAATTAACACTTAATAAAGATCACTCTGTGTGTAATACATCTATATAATATATGAGTTTCACATTTTGAACTGAATTACTGAAAGAAACTAACTATTCACTCATTTGCTCATTTTTTAAGATGCACTAGTATATATAATGATGGGGGATGGTGTTGAGGTTGATGTTAAAATAATCAGAGAAACCACAGAGATCTTAACACTGCTGTTATATGTCTTTCTTCCAGGCTTTCTTCTCCAAATTCCCACAGAACTCTTCAGTGTGGAGACTCGTAAAAGCCTGAGCTTGTGCGCTGCACTAATCTGTGTGTGTGTAACCAGGCATTCACTTAATCACACTTTACTGCTGCTCTTTACCACGAGGGTCCGCTCAGGGTCGTTACCTTAAATGCCTCTCAGTGCAGAGCGAGGAGGTGTACCAGCAACCAATCACATTATCTAACAGCCTAAACCCCCCTGAGAGCCTGAGAGGAGACCCTGCTTCTCTATAATGAAATGAGTGCAGCTCTTAGCAAATGAGAGAGGAGTGATTATTGATCGGGACGCTCGCCCTGTTCCTCCTCACCTCCTGCGCAGACGCTCGATGGCTCAGCTGCCAAGATCTCGATACAGGACTTCTTGATGATCTGCAGTGAGAACAGGATTAAAAGGTCAACACAAAAAAAAATAATTCTGTTTAACCATTTCCAGATTACAGTATGAAGGTTGTGGATAGCTCTGAATGATGATCTACAGATGCTGGAGGTATGTGGTGACTCTGTAACAATGTAAGGCCTAAATGTATAGTGTTTAGAGCAGTGTTTAGTGTTTAGTGCCCTTTTTCTGCGCTACAACTGAACACTCTCGCCACTTTTAGACTCTTTGCCCCGTTTTTCTGCTCTACAACTGCGCACTCTCTCCGCTTTTACACTCTTTGGCCTCTTTTTCTGTGCTAGAAATGTGCACTCTCTCCAATTTTAGATTCTTTGGCCTGTTTTGTTTTGCACTAGAAATGCGCACTCTCTCCACTTTGATACTCTTTTGCCCCGTTTTTCTGAGCTAGAAATGCGCACCCTCTCTGCTTTGAGACTCTTTGGTCCGTTTTTTTCGCTAGAAATGAGCACCCTCTCCGCTTTTAGACTCTTTGGCCCGTTTCTGACACCTAGCGTTCAAACTTTGAATCTCATATTATAAAAACCTGCTTAACAGCGGGCCAACTTTCATTCTATTTCTAAAATACCACGCGGGCCGCTCCAAAGAAGGAAAATTCATGAAAATTCATTTTAACAGCAGGATGACTCGCTGAACATTAAGTCCAGTGCAGAATCTCAATACAGCACTCCCAATCACTGAGCACATCCCACTGTCAACGCCTTTGCTTCCAGCTGTGCTCCCAGCTTCACTTCATCTGCATTTTATTAAGTAAGGATCTTTGTTTACCGAGTCAATCACTCCTCTAAGAGCCTGGAATCCTCCCGTCACAGGAAACACGTGCTCGATGGTGTCCGCTATGGTGGCCAGCTACAGTCAGAAAAACACACAGGTTTATTTACACAGGGTTTCAGCTTCCTACTGATTTCACTGATCTATTACACACAGTCTTTTATGTCTGTGCTGGCAAAAGACAAGGAAATAAATCACGTTACAACTGGAAGGGAATAATAATAATAACTAACTGTCAAAAACATCTATCCATTTTTTTTCTTGTGTTGTTGTATGAAGCAACAACAGTTTCCCAATCTCATTACATCTATATATATATATATATATATATATATAATATATATATATATGTATATATAACTGCTGTAGGCTGAATGAGTGGGAGTCTAAACTGCTGTAGACTGAATTAATGGGAGTCTAAACTGCTGTAGACTGAAAGGGTGGGAGTCTAAACTGCTGTAGACTGATTGAGTGGGGGGTCTAAACTGCTGTGGACTGAATGAGTGGGAGTCTAAACTGCTGTAGGCTGAATGGGTGGGAGTCTAAACTGATGTAGGCTGAATGGGTGGAGTCTAAACTGCTGTAGGCTGAATTTGTGGAAGTCTAAACTGCTGTAGGTTGAATGGGTGGGAGTTTAAATTGCTGTAGACTGAATAAGTGGGAGTCTAAATTGCTGTAGACTGAATTAATAGGAGTCTAAACTGCTGTAGGCTGAATGGGTGGGCCTAAACTGCTGTATCCCTCACAGGGGTGTGTTGAGTGTGAGTTTAAACATCATTATCTTCAGGATAACAGTGATAACAGTCAGAAAACAAACTTCCTCACCTGCGTCTCGTTGAAGTCTTTAACTCCGACGCAGTACACAATAGCACCCAGCCCTCTTGCTTTGGCAGCCTGCAGGAAAAACAAGAGCGTCACGGAATTCCAGAGGATTTCACAATCAACGTAAACAGCAGATGGAAAAAGGAGAGTAAAAGCAGGTCAGTGATGTAACCTCTTGTTGTGCTGCAACCAGCTGCTGTTCATTCAGCTCCCCGTCCGTCAGAGCAATGATCACACTGGCTTTACCTGAAAATACACGTTCAATAATATTACTATCAGAGTAAATGACTTCTGCAGCAGCAGCTCAAAGATCTGCTGGACTATAGGAGCTCCCAAACATCTGCTTATCCTATTAGTAACAGATCTACTCACAATCTGCACAAACACCACTGAGGTGTTCACTGTGGTTACTATTCAGTATATTTAGCTTCCAGCACAAGTGAACCATTCTTATGCTTAACATTTTGAGTTTGAATAAATTTAAATTATAAAATAATTATTAATAGATTTTAAATAAGAAAACATGACAAAAACACGTACAATTTCTGTGTCGTTAAAATGACATGAAAAGAACATTAAAAAAATACAATAAATTCAGACTCATCATCTCAAGTTCAAAGTATTGTGTAATAAATAAACTGTATCAATTGTAAGCATGTATAAGTACTCTGCGTTGATACCACTGCTT